AAGTTTTCAATAAATGAACATAAATTAATTTATTTTAATTAATTATATTGATTAATCATTTAATTTCTTATATTGATCATTAAAAAATAAAATAAAAAGAATGTCATTTATACATTGATTTTATCAAACGATTTAAAAAACATCTATTTTTAACAAGAACTACCGTATAAATATACAATACATTGTATAGAACTAATTACATGCCCTTACTTCATGCATGGAAACAAACACACAAAGTCAGTTTACTTTTTAAAAGTAAAAAAAAATGTGGTGTGTATGATGATGTGATTAGCATATATTTATTACTCGTATATTATAAAAAAAATCCTACATTTAACTCTCTTTCATTTATTTTTAAAAAAATTCTAATTATTTTTGTTCTGCAAGTAGTTTTTGAAATATCATGTGCAAGGGCATGTGGGCATGTTCCACTATTTCTTCATCCTCGTCCTTATCCTAATTAAGTTGAGCCTCTTCTTCATGTCCAAGTTTTTCTTCAATGAAAATGAAATGCATATGATGATATCTCTGCACACATAACAAAAACAATTAAACATAGTTGAAGTTTTTGTTTTCTAACAAATTTATGTATCAGATTCGTGCCTGAAAGTCTAGCATTATGCGGTAAAACACTCTTTAATAAAGGTCATTTTCTATTAAAAAAACTCAAATTTAAAAACTCTGATCAAGCATGACGAAATACTTACCACTTATTAGTTACCACTTCATATGACCCTTGGTTTGGTGACTAGATTCTATGTATATTTACACGTCAAATATGGTCATAAATAATGTAAAGACAAATTAAATGTATAAAACATGGAGGACCAAATTGTTTTGTTGCATGTGAAAGAGAGACAAGGAATGGGGTTTGAGTGCATGAGCCCATTATTCTTGGGTCATGGTTCAAGAAAATGGGTTGTTGGCCATTTTCTCAACAACTATTGTTTCTCATCTGCCCCTTATAAATCTTGATGATGATTGATAGGATATTTTTATTCCTAAAGTTAGTACCACTCAATTGTTTTCCATATATTTTAACACTTAGAAATGAGATCATGTGCTAAGGCAGATCACAGATCTAACATGTAATTTATGAATTCACGTGAATTTAATAATTTTTTGCAATTTTTTTTAATTTATGCATGAAATGTTTTACTAAACTTGTACTCCTATTTGGTTTACAAGAGACAAGTAAGATTCATACAGGAAGTTGGCAAGGATATTGTCCTATCATGAAAACTGGATTTTGTCATATTCTCCTGGTAGTTAAATTATTTTGGAGGAAATGTAAAGAGATTATATTTAATAAGTTTCATCAGTTATAGTTAACCTAATTACGCTTTATAGTTATAGTTTCATTTGTTATTGGTATTTTCGTTTGATATTTCGCTTGTCAATATACAAATTCTATATTTATACATTTAAGAATTTTTCATAATTTATACAAATCAAATGTATCAAGTAATATACGAACAAGATAAAGAAACTGTATATAAATAGCTAGGGTAATCATATACAAATTATGGGTTTATACAATTACGAATCGAATTATACAAATTCTGAGCATGACCCACGTAAGTATGATTATATGTTAGTGACAAAAAGTAGTTTCTTCAAATTATGTTTGATGAAATAAGTAATTAACTAGTATATATTTGGTTTTCCGATTATTTAAGTTTCTGTACGTTATGTGTTGGAGCCTGATGATTCAATCAAACCAAGCAAGAGTTTTGGGCCTATGATCCAATGGTGGTGGGGGAAAAGCCATTTTCAATAGATCGTTATGGGCTGTGTTGCATCCCGGACCAAAACCAATCAAGTTTGAAAACCTTTAGGCCCAGGAAAGTCTAAATTTGCATTTGAGAAAAAAGTATGAATACGTTTCGAATTATCGTAAATGGTATGCAGATATCCGTTATTATATTTTTGGGATATAGGTGTTCCTGTCGTCCAAGAACTAGTGCATATATTCCCTTCACTTTAACAGAAGGCTAAATAGGGACACATGGCACAATCCTATCCGTTAATATGATATTTGATAAATGTCGGATCGGTGGATAAAAAATTATGATATGTGTATTTATATTTGTGAAAAGGGTATATATGTTCTAGTTTTAAAACGACAAATACACTAATATCTTAAAGTATAATGGAGAGTATCTACATACTATTTACATTAGTTCATATTTGTCATTTTTCCCCTTCAAAACTTTATGAAATGATTTAAATTTTATCTAGTTTGGTTTCTTTATTTTTATTTTACTACTTGAGATGAAACATATCGTTATTGTTACTAATTTGACCTAGAAATGTCCTAATTAACTTGTAATATAAATTTTCTAACACGTGAACCATTTTATTTAACAAGTGAAAATGGTCAAATTTAATGTTAAACTACGAAAAAATAAACCTAAAGGTGTAGAAATTGTCCATATGAGTTTTTTATTTTTATTTTCCACACAGTATTCAAAGCCTGAGTCGTATCCAAATTCGTAATAGAAAATATTGTACAATACGAAAAAATCTTCCTCTTTTTGGACTTTCAAAAGACAGATGCTTCTTGAGAAACACAATATCTTAAGATGTCATTTGACTATGGCATAGAGTTGTTTTCTTTTTCCCCTTTCTGGGTTAGGCCGCCGTCCCCTTCGATTTGCGCATCGGGAATGATCTCAAAATCAAAATTTTCTAACAGAGGAATCGAGATTAGGGTTGACTGAACCACTCATCACCAGGTGAACTCATGATTATATTTAAATCAATAATACATATTCCCTCACTTTCTATTTGTTCTCTCCGTTTAAAAAAGGATGACCTAATTTGACTTGGAACGAAGTTTAAGAAAAGAAAGAAAATTTTTTAATGTTGTGATTTTAAATTAAAGTTATGTTAAATGTACAAAAATGTCTTTTAATCTTATAGTCTTAAACATGTCACGTGGAAAATTAAATTTAAAGTGTTGCCAAAAATAGAAAGGAATCATTCTTTTTGAAACAGATTAAAAAGAAAATATGATCATTCTTTTTTAAACGTATGGAATTTATGTTACCGTTTTAGATTTTACATGCATTATGAAACTAAAGAAGTTCACCTTTTCAACTTTGTTTAATTTTTTTGGAAGTCAAGTTTTCAATTAATGATTAAGAATCAATTTATTTTAATTAATTAATTTGACCAATAAACATGAATTATTCATTTAATTTTTTCTATGTTGGTCAAATGTATATTTTCCATACTAATAACACACAAAGATAAAATAGGAAAAAATATTACTATTATTTATACATTTATTTTATGAAATGATAGATATTATGAATCAAATATTTATAATAAGGATGATATAAAAAGGAACAGATGGAATAATTTGTACGGGCTCTTCTTACTAGGGTGTGCATTGGTTAGATGGTTCGATTTTATGTATTAGCGGTTCGATTCATCAATTTTTTGATTTATAAATAAACTAAACAAATAACAAATCAATAAGATATTCTTTATTGATTTTCGATTTATTGGTTTTCATCATTAACGGTTCTGTTTTCGATTTATCCAGTTAAAAATTGCTCATAAAATAAAAATATGATTTACCACTTCTCCAACAATTTGGTATGATATAGTGAGACAAGCAAACTAGTTTTAAATGTTTTGATACAGTGAAACAAGAAATAGAATGAGAAATTACATCAATAAAATTAGATGTAGCATGAAGGCTAACAATAACATGTTGCAACCAAAACATAATATGATTTTTTAAATGTGAAATAGAATTACTATGACATGTAAAGTGTGTAGACGATAGTGTAGAATATTAATATAGTGTTTAGATATGTTAAATTGTTAATATTTATAAAAAACATAATAAATAATTATCGATGTACTCAATAACCAATTACTAATATTCAATATAGAATCAATAATCCAATAATATATTTTTATAAAATTATTAAAAATCTATTAACCCAATAATATTTTTTCGGATTGTCATCAAATTTGTGTGTATGAGTTGGCCTTAGATGTAGTTGGATGGACGCACAAATCAAGGGGCAGGAGATTGAGTGAGTGGGAGTCTGTTTTCAACTTTGCCATCGTGGGGCACCTAACCACTCCCAACGCACAGCACCCACACATTTTTTCTTTACTTTTCCAATTTTTTTTTCTTCTCTTCTAGAAAATTCTCTTTTTTTCAAATTCCGTGATCACATAGGCGGATAAAAAGCTAGATTTTCGCCTTCCTTCTACAACTTACCATCCGTACTGTCACCTCAACTCCCGGTTCCCCGTTTAAACTTTTCATTATACATATTTTAATTTTAAAATATTTATGTTAGGATTTTTTTTCTCTTGCTGAAAGTTGGATATTGAAGGTTTTTTTTTTTTAAACGAAAAATATTTTAAATTTAAATTTGTTTTCTAAAATTTTAAAAATAACTTCACTTTATATACATAAATCAAAACATAATTTACATTTTAAAATAATATTTTTATTTTTTTTCAAATTATGTATTTTTATGTTCTGACACCCATTAAAATATGCATAAAACACATCTCAATAAATACTAGTCTAATTGTTATTCTTAGAAGGTTGTTTATTTAATGTCATCGGACATTAATAAAAAAAGAGTTTATTTATGTTTTTCTTTAAAAGTTTCGCCCATTTATATCATTGCTGATAAAAAAAAGACTTATCCATATTATTTTATAACTTTAATTTTGCAAAACCATTTGATATCTTGTTTGGAGAAAAATTACTTTTAATATTTAAAGTTATTTCATAAATATTTAAAAAAAATAAAATTTTTATTACTGTTCTTTGTTTGTTTTTTTGTGTCCCTAAAGGAAGAAGAAGCGAAAGAGTATATTTAATCCAAAAAACTTCAAGTGAATAATATTAAAAATTGTTTGAAATGTAAAAAATAATTTTATAAAATCAGAATTAAAAAAATAAAATGAAAAAATTAAATTAATAACAAATGATCCGAAATTTCAAATTTGAGCCTTTCGTCGTCTAAAATATTCCATTAGTTAGAATTGAGAAAATCAATAATGTGAAATCGCATTACTTACCGGCTCCCCCGGTCTCCCATTACTAGCCACTTCTATTAAACCCTTTCACGCCTTTCCACTTCATTTCACAAAAACCTCTCCAATTAAAACGAACTCCATTTTCCTTCTCAGTTCACAAAAAAAAATCATGGGTATATCATCAGTTATCCTTTCTTTACTTGTTCTTCAATTTCTTTTTCTGCATGTATCATCATACGTTATACTTCACGGGCTTTAACTAATTCCATTTTTTCCATATCTTCTTTTGTAATTTTTTGCAGGCAAGATTAAGATCGGAATCAATGGTATATAATCTGTTGTTTTTGTCTCGTGAATTTGTTAATTTAGTGTGTTTTTCTGAATTTTCATGAAATTACTTTTTGGTTTTGGCTAAGATCGGTTTCGAATGTTGTTTTGTTTGTAGGTTTTGGAAGAATTGGCCGATTGGTGGCCAGGGTGGCTCTACAAAGAGATGATGTTGAGCTCGTTGCTGTTAACGATCCCTTCATCACCGTGGAATACATGGTAACATGGCAATTAATGATAGTTTATGAACTATGAATTAAGCTTTAATGTCAGTTTAGTTTGGGTTGATTATATGTTTTAGTTCATTTAGTTCATAAAATTGTAGTATTTAGACAATTTTATCATAATTAGACTATTTTCACATGTTATAGTTAATTACCATGATTTTTTATGAGTTAACGGTACAAAATACACTTAAATGTGTCCAAGTTTTTTGAGTTTTCTATCGGAACTATCATGTGTGTGTTTCACAAACTGTTATCAAAACACACATGAACTATCATTGTTGAGTTAAATACCTGAAATTTCAGGTAGGAAAAGTGAACTCATAGTTCAGGTGTGTTTCGATAAACATTTGGTGAAAGTTCAAGTAGGAAATTCACAGCGTGTCGGAAGCTATTACAAAATGTTATCAAAACACATGAACTATCATTGTTTGAGTTTCATACCTGAAATTTCAGGTGGGAAAAGTGAACTACTCATAGTTCTGGTGTGTTTCGATAAATGTTTGGTGATAGTTCGAGTAGGAAAATCACACATGATAGTTCAGGTAGGAATCTCAAAAAATTGGGATACTTTTAAGTCTGTTTTTGATGATCAGTGCACCTCAGTCATTAAAAAAGGGTTGTTTTTGACCCTGTAATTCTTTTTTCTTTGGCTGTTTCTTAGTTCTTCACTTTCCAGAAGTGTTGGGTCAAAGACAGCACTTTTCCTTTATTTATGCTTTGCGAAATTCACATAGTGATATTCAGTAGTAACAATATCAGTAGATCTGTTGTTTTCTGGGGCTTTAAGTCGATGGGGATTGTATATGATGATTGTTGCAGACATACATGGTCATGTGTAAGTTTACTGTTATTATTTGAGGGGTTAAGTTGATGGGTATTGTATATGATGCTTGTTGCAGACATACATGTTTAAGTATGACAGTGTTCACGGTCAATGGAAGAACAATGAGCTCAAGGTTAAGGATGAGAAGACTCTTCTCTTTGGTGAGAAGCCTGTTACTGTATTTGGCATAAGGTAAATTATGTCTCCAACTTTTCTTTATTATATGAAAAACTGCATTAGAATTTCTCTTGATTGGACTTATTGTATGGATGTCTGAAGAAACCCAGAGGAAATCCCATGGGCTGAGGCTGGAGCAGAGTACATCGTGGAGTCAACTGGAGTCTTCACTGATAAAGACAAGGCTGCTGCCCACTTGAAGGTTTGTGATCCTAAATAACTAGAGCGTTCTTATTTTGGCTTACTGTTTGTAGCTAATATTGATTTTTCAAAGTACATAGTTTGACACTCCAACATATAATCCCCCATGGCCTGAACACTTGGTGCCTGAAACCATGTAGCGAACTTTGTTTGCATTTTTTCTTTTGTACATGTTTATGTATGCATTTGTTAGTGAAGGTGCTATTCTGAGGCTTTACTCATGTACTTTTGTTTTCTTCTCCTGTCTAATCAAACTTCTGTGGAAACTTAAGGACAGAGTATGCTGTCATCTTGAAAGCAATTTAAAACTTCTCTATGTATTTTCTCGACAGGAGTCTAGGTGTTGCAGTACGCTGTTTGTATTGTCTCTATATTAGTTTTTTTTAAAATGTAAATTGATGCTAATGCGATGATGTTTGGGTGTTGACTACTTGGATTGATATGGTTATCACGTATTTCCTTGCACATTAGCTTGATTACCTGCATTGAATAGTTGGTGTTGAGTACCTGCTTAAATTTTTTTGGTTGTTGTTATTACCAGGGTGGTGCTAAGAAAGTAGTTATTTCTGCTCCTAGCAAGGATGCACCTATGTTTGTTGTTGGTGTCAATGAAAAGGAATACAAGCCAGACCTCAACATCGTTTCTAATGCTAGCTGTACTACTAACTGCCTTGCACCTCTGGCAAAGGTTCCCTTTTTTTTCTTTTGCCCTGTTCTTCATTTTAGTATTTGAGCCTATATGTGAATTTAAATGATTTCTTTTATGACTTTGCAGGTTATTCATGACAGGTTTGGAATCGTTGAGGGTCTTATGACTACAGTTCACTCCATAACTGGTAAGTATTGCTTTATGCATTAGAAGTTAATACAGCTTCTGTAGCTTGAGTACTAAGTAATTATTTTATAACAGCCACCCAGAAAACTGTTGATGGACCATCAGCTAAGGACTGGAGGGGAGGAAGAGCTGCATCATTCAACATTATCCCCAGCAGCACTGGAGCTGCAAAGGCTGTTGGAAAGGTGCTACCATCATTGAATGGAAAGTTAACAGGAATGTCTTTCCGAGTTCCAACAGTCGATGTCTCTGTGGTTGATCTCACTGTGAGGTTGGAGAAAGAAGCCACCTATGATGAAATCAAGGCTGCTATCAAGTAAGACTGTGCACTTTATTCCTTTACCCATTCCCATTCCCCTTCCCCTTCCCCTTCCCCCCTTCCCTGTAAGAAATACAAAAGTTCTGTGCTTCATTCAGTTCTGGCTAGTATTAGACTACAGGTTTCCATGGATGCAAAATACATGCAAAAAAAGGAGTCATAGTGCTGGGTGAAATAGTAGAAAAGGCCCTAGGGCTACTCAACTTGTTTTAATAGCTGCTCATTTACATTAATATGCTTTTTTTTTTGCTTTGGCATTTCATTAGGGAGGAGTCTGAAGGAAAATTAAAGGGAATTCTTGGATACACTGAAGATGACGTGGTATCTACAGACTTTCTTGGGGACAACAGGTGAGGATGTATTTCGAAGTTATGTTCCATATTATGTCTGACTCACAACAACAAATGTCTATTGCTTCTGCCAATGCATTTTCCCTGTAAATTCCTATTCCTTTGTTAACCGACCCTGCGTGAACCAGACTAGACAGCCTAAGTGTTAATTTGTAATTCAAATGAAAATAATTTGCAGATCAAGTATCTTTGACGCCAAGGCTGGAATTGCTTTGAGCAAGAACTTTGTGAAGCTTGTTTCTTGGTATGACAACGAAATGGGCTACAGGTAAATCTTAAAAATTTACTTCTCTTTGTATTTAGAGCTGCTGTCGACCCATCTTTTAGCATTCTCCTTTACAAGAACTTTGTTATTCAGCTCTTAAATGGTTTGTGATCTGCTGCTAATGTTTTTCCTTGCTGTGGTTGCAGCACACGAGTGGTCGACTTGATTAAGCACATGGCATCAGTCCAGTAAAGTGGCAGTTCCGAGTATGATGGTGCGTTACTGAGCATATTTAGAAGAGGAAAAAAGCTTTAGAATAAAGTAAAATGAGAAGCTGTTTGACGAGTTTGGAGGTGGCTGTCTGTTTACTATTGTATTTTCATTTGGGGTCTCTTGTTGGATTGTTGTTTTCCCCAATTTTCAAATGTGTCTGCAAAACTGTCTGGATATGTTGTTTTGTCTTGCTATCAATGTATAATAACGTTGGACCCGCACTTATCTTTCTCACTGCCACCTTCCTCCCTCCCCCACAAAATCAACCACAAAAAGGAAGGATGATAAAAACAAAGAGGGAACTGGGCCTATTGTAATAAAGGGCTTGTCAGGTGCCTTTCAGAGCCTTCAAAAAGCCAATTATAAGGTGGTACGACGGGGTCACAGCCTGGTGCTTGATGAAAGTGATATTGAGAAAAGTAGATATCACTAAAGCTTATATCTTCACTTTCTGTTTGATGCCTACGGAATTTGCAATGGCAGGAAGGATTCCACCTTACAAAGGAAAAGAGCAAGAAAACAAAGTGCTCATTTTGAAAGAAACAAAGTAGGGAGATCTAATGACGGAACTACAACAACATATACCATACGCGGTGGTGTGTGTGTTGGAGGAGAGATTTGAAAAGAACAATGAATTAAATTCTATTGGATTTGATAAACTCTTGGCTCAAGGATAATTTGAAAATAAAAGTACAAACGCCTACTCTCGTACTAGAAGGATTAAGAATATGCCGCTCTGTGACCCTTGATGGTATACTTGCTTGGTGTTCTTGCAACTGTCGAGTCCTTTACACCAGTGAGGGGTGTCAGAATCCCGCCCAATAGGCTCAATTGATCCGTCCTTTACACATACTAAAAAGAATTGGTATGTTATATATAATTATCAAAAAAGATTTTTTTATTAGGTTTAAAATTTTTAAAAAGAACAAATGAAGCAATTCAAGTTATTAAGAATTAGACGTGTGTTATGACCTGTATTTCAGTCCAAATATCTTTTGGATGGCTTAATAACTCGCCTTTTTTATCACTCAAATTTAGTCCAACACGCTCATTTGACACCTCTAATTGTGATAGAGCTAGGAATTATCATAATTTATACATATATTATTATGTGAGATTGTACATTGATAACAAGTGTTATATTTAATGTGATAAATTTTATACATTACTAAATATGTATGTTGTATTTAACACAAAAATAATTTTTCACTATTATATTTTTTTTTACCTGATATGTTTTACTTGAACCAAATGTTTAATGATAACAACAAACTTTTATAATACATACATTATCTCTCTAAATTTCATTTATGTAAAATTAGTTTATGTTGCATATGTAGCTATTGAACAATGTAGTTCTAAACCAGCGACCAATTGATCTCTTACACCTTGTTCAGATGATTGTTATCCATTGTATTCTATTGTTAGTATAAATACAAAATGCTCATGTAGAAAGAAATCAAGGAGGGAGATTTCATGACGGGAGTACAACAACAAATACTACACGTGGGATAGATTCAATGGAGTCTAGAGAAAATAATGTGTACAAAAACTTACCCTCTATATTGAAAGGTGAAGAGATTTCTGAATACACTCACAGCTCAAAAATGATAAAGAGTAGCGATGAAAAATGAAATACCAATGACTTCCTCTCATACTAGAAGGATTAGATTAAAGAGTATCCCCCTTTATGTCCCTTGATGGTTCACTTCCCTGATGTTCTTGCAACTGCGGGGTCCTATACAACAGTGACGAGGAGTGTCAAAATCCAGCCCAATAGGTTCAAGCAATCCGTCCATTTATTCGAGCAATCGAGTTTATTAATTTTAACCTAAGTAATTCATAAAAAATTTTATCAATATATTTTTGAAAAAGTATTTTCTAAAATTTGGTATGTTATATATAATCATTAAAAAAGATTTTTTTCTTAGGTACTAAAAATTTATTAAAGAACAAATAAAATAATTATTAAGAATTAGTTTGTTATTGTTATGACCCACATTTCAATTCAAATATCTTTTAGAAGGTTTAATAACTTGTTCACTCTGCTCGAATTTAGAGCCTGTTTAGCTCAGCTTAAAAGTTGATTTTTGACTTATTTAACTGTTTGGCAATACTTAAAATAGCTTATTTTAAGTTAAAAAAAACTTATTTTAAGCCAAAAGTTAAAAGCTGGGGTAGGGGTGCTTTTTTTTTTAGCTTATAAGCTGTTTTAAGTTGATCACATTTTTATGTTTTTTCCCTTAATATTTTTATACAATCTCCAAATTACCCATATAACCCTAACATCTCTTTCTTCTATTTTTTCCTTTTCACGTTTGACATAACAACTTCAGCACTTTTATCCAAACGCATAACTGCTTATTTTAAAAATAAGTTTCAGCATTCAAAAGTACTTTTTTAAAGCTGCTTTTATTAAGCCCATCCAAACGGGCCCTTAACCCCATGCACTTATTTGATACCTCTAATCTCTAGCATAACAAAGTAGGAGTTCTCATAATTTATACTTGTATGTATTATTATGGAGTTTGGAGTCTAAATGGTAAAAAAATATTGACAAAATTTTTAAAAGGGTATATCAAAAAACTTTTTAACCAAAACGGTAAAATTTCTACTGATGTAGCGATTTATTTGGCCGGCGTTAAAGAAAAATTGCTACTCTTGCAGCGATTTGTACAATTTATTTTTTAATTTGAAATCGCTACCTCGTCAGCGTTTTTTGTTATTTTTTTTTTAAAAGTTTTTTTTTTAACAAATCGTTGTCAAGGCAACATTTTTTTAATGATTTTTTTAAAATTGTAAGTCGTTGCTTGTGCAGCGATTACTTAAAAAGTTTTTGTATTATTTTTTGAAGTAAATCGCTGCCCTGGCAGCGATTTGTTAAAAAAATATTTTTTTTAAAAAATAAAATAAAATTGCTGACGAGGTTGCGATTTCAAATTAAAAAAAGGCAAAAGTATTCATCACCCCCTTGAACTTGAAGCTTTTTATTCAATGTACACCTAAACTTTATTTTGTTTCAATTACCCCCCCGAACTTGCTTATTCATCCTACACGTACACCTTTTCCGTCCACTCAATATGATCGTGTCTACACGCGCATGACACGTAGATAAATATTTTACCACCTAGATAAATAATTTGCCACCTAGATTATCATGAGCCAACTCCCACTTGTTGGTCTTTGCTGTCTTTTGGCCTCTCTCTTTTCCCAAACTCACCACTTATAGAACCCCCTTTTGGCTTTTAATTAGTACACGACTAGGAGTATACAATTTGTCATTCTTCTTGTATCCAGTAACAAGCTTCAATCTTTCTCTCTCTTCACGCAATCCTACATCTTTTCTTGCATTCTTGTACCCCTTTTCTTGATTTAGTCTTCTTCTTATTTGCTAAGTTTAGAACAGAACAACTTTTTGCAGATTCTTCACTGTTTCTTTTATTTTTTGTGTGTGTAGACAAAATTTTTGTCTTACTGACATAGTACATGTGCGTGTATATATGAGTATTTGAATTTTTTTTGTTGTGATTCAAGATTTGAATTTGCTGACTGGGTTCTTGTTACTATAAAGCAAACTTTAATGGGTGACGACTAATTTGAGTATGGATTTGATTTGACAAGTTCTTGGATGTTGACTTGAAACCCCTTATCAAAGGAAACTTATATTTTGCCCATTCTTGTTGTTATTGTGTATCAAGATTCATGCTTCGAGTGCGACAATGGAGAGGTTTATGGCCTGCTTTTCATTTCTTTTAACACTTTGTTCAGAGGTTTAGTTTAAAGAAAGATGAAAAATTTTCTGAAGAAGGAGTAACAATACATACCCCATAGTGTCAAATAAAAAGCAAAAAAGGAGTAACAATACATACCCCATAGTGTCTACAACCGAAAAATCTACGTCCGGGATTGTCATTTGTCCATGAAATTTTCAAAATTGGAGGAGCCCCACATAAACAAACAAGTCTCCTGTTATTGTTCATGAATTTAGCAATAACAATTAAAACAAAAAAAGTGAGAAAAATCTGAAATTTGAAAAGGGAGAAAAGAAGAATAAATAGGTAGAGAATAGAGAGAGAAAAAAATCTTAAAATAACCCAAATATTAAAGAAAAAATAGATTTTTACTTATATTACCGTTGTAACTTTATGATGTAGCAAAAATTGCTGTCTCACGCGCCGTCTAGAGTTTGATTTCAGTTTCTATGCCAGGTGAACGGAAAAGGTGTACCTGTAGGATGAATAAGCAAGTTCAAGGGGGTAATTGAAACAAAATAAAATTTAGGTGTACATTGAATAAAAAGCTTCAAGTTCAGGGATAGTAAATACTTTTGCCTTAAAAAAATAAATTGTGCAAATCGCTGTTGTCTTAATGCCGGCCAAATAAATCACTAAATCAGTAGCGATTTTAGCATTTTGATTAAAAAGTTTTTTGATATACCCTTTGAAATCTTTGTCAATAATTTTTACCCTTTAGCCTCCGGACTATATTATTATGCAAGATTATAAATTGATAACGAATGTTATACGCTAAATATTATACTTGAGAACTAAATACTTAGTACTATTTTAATTATGTTGATTTTTAACACAAAATTGATTTCTCCCTAGTATATTTGCTTTACCTGATATGTTTTATTTGAGTCAAATGTTTATCGAAAACAATAAACTCTCATAATTCATACATCACCTCTCCAAATTTCATTTATGTAATATAGTTGATGTTGCATATGTTGTTATTGAATAATTTAGTTCTAAACCAATGATTAACTGATCTCTTATACCTTGTTTGGATGGTTGTTGCCATTGTATTGTATTGTTTGTTCAAATAAATTATTTGTTTTGATAGTTACTTATATTCTATTAAATCGTATCGATTAAATCCAAAGCTAGGTAATAACTAAGAGACCCATTTTATGTAACAATCAATTTGGCGTGATCGTATCGTTACCTTAACATTTTCTTCTCATTTGTCTTTATTTGTTATTTAATAATTATATTTCATCTATTGTCCTACATTTTCATAATAGATACAACTCTAGCTCATACTCTACTTTTCTTATACGTTTATCGTTCAAATTATGAATGTGCAATAATTTATTGAAATTTGTATTTATTAAAATAATAGAAAATACAATATACAATATATCAGAGTGTTAGGTTAAAAACAAATCACCAAACCTATACCTAATAGGCTTAAAACTAAATTAACAAGTAATCATTTTACTTCACTATATTTGTACCCAAATTGCTTTTTCTTCTTCTCTTGTTTAAAACGAACAAGACTAAAGAGGCTGGCACATTGTTTTCATCGGAACTTTTACAATAAATACGCTCTACTCTAACTCTGCACCCTCTACTGATCCATTTACACACCTGGCAACTTTACTCCGTTCAATGGCTACTCTCACCTTCAATTCCGTCGCCGCCACCTCCAAAATCCGATCCTCCGTCGCCGCCGCAAACTCCTCCGTCCGTCGCCAGCTGTCACATGTCCGCCTTCCGTCTTCTCCTATTCAGCCATCATCTGTCTTGCAGTGCCGCTGGTCTTCTTCCGCCTCTTCAGGTATCTTTCAATTCGTAGTAGAGACGGATCTAATCCTTCTCTGCTTACTGCTTTCCAATTCTAAAAATGTTGTATGTATTATAGATACTTAGTGTTCATTGACTTTAAATCTTGAGTGCGATTCCTTTTTAGAAAAATGTATATTGACATTTTGCCTGATGAGAAATAAATACAATAGGACACTCGATTCTGGCCTCTGTTTATAGGAAAGGAATTCAAGAATATTTGAAAGCAAAAAGGAATCTGTAATTAGTTTAAAGGACAGATGCATTTCTCATCTGTTTTTTTTTTTTGGTAATAGCTAAAATGATACATAAGCCATGGTTGACTTTTTGAGTTCATAACACAACTTGTGATGAGCAGTTTTGCTGCTTTTAATACAATACCCTTTATCAATCAGAAAAAGATGTTCCTTTGTTTATAATTAGTTGTATAGATGTATAATGGGATTGTGATATGATCAGGTGTGAGAGCTCAGGTGACAACCACTGAACAAGTTGGAGTTAAGGCTGCTGCAAAAGTTGAAGCTCCGGTTGTTATTGTCACTGGAGCTTCTAGAGGAATAGGGAAGGCAATTGCGTTGGCTTTGGGAAAGGCTGGTTGTAAGGTCAGCATTGTGTTCCATTTTTTAAATACTAGAACTTATCTAATTTCACTCTTGCATTTGTATACTATGGTGTTGGCGACCTATGTGGCTTTACTGTAAAACATTATCAGCTCTAAGGTGCTATGGTAGTTGCTCAAGTTGTGTTTCCGTTGGCCATAGTTTAAAAGTGAAACAATGGGAAGTACTCTCTCTGTCCTTTGACTGCTCTGTTTATCATCTTAAGGTAAAATGTTTAATGGATAATTTTAATTGAGAATAAAAGGCTTTAATAGGATAGTTTCAAATGTGCGAAAAATAAATTAGTTACCTGAAAGGTGTCAGATGAAGTGTAAAACAATACTAGTTTGTGTTATTCTATATTGTTTTTGGGTGAAATTGCCGTTAACAAGCAGAAGCTTATACGGGCCAGAGTAGAAAGCGAAGCGGGTCCTCCTCCTCCTCCACATCTTCTTCTTATTTAGCTTAGTCTTTACTACGTGAAGTCAGGCATTTGAAAAATGTGAATTCCGTTGATTTAAGTTCTTCCGAAAGCTTCCAATAATGTTCTTGAGCTGACATAGGTTGATACACGGGCATTACTGTTCATCAATTTGTAATTTTCCCATACCTGCTTGATATAAAGTTCAATATCGGTGGCAGGTCCTTGTGAACTATGCCAGATCTTCAAAGGAGGCAGAAGAAGTTTCCAAAGAGGTATGTGTACCTTTTTTTAGTAATAATTTAGTTTAGTTTTTGGTATATATTAGTATCCCTGATACTTCCATTCCCAACTGAAAATATCATTTTAATTACTTGAAACATGAACTGTGTCTCGAACTTCAGTCTGGTAGCCTTTTTATTTTATTCTATTTTTATAGATAGAGCTAGGTCTTCCTCTCTGATTCAAAGAATTGGTCAAACATGGAAAACTGATTCTGCTCTCTCATCTTTGTTAGAATTTTTCTGATAAGATAGAAGCTAGTTAATGACCTGATTGCTTGTACTGAAACCGTAAAAGCAAAAGGAATTTATCTTTGCTGGTAATACTCTTCCATGGAAGATTGATGAAGTTGTCGATATATATATGATAATGGCTCGGTGAAGTTATACTGCATATATTTTATACTTGCGCATTTCAAACAATTATGTTTTCTCTTGGCTAATCCTCATCTATCAAGAAGTGTAAGTTTAGGTTCAAACTTTGTGTTTGGTTTCACTTATCTTCATGCAAGTTCCATCTCAAAACGTTGGCAAACATAGATTATTTTAGTTTTATCTCAGTCTTGTAAAGGAGCGAAACCTGCTTTTATCTCAGTCTTCCATCCATTGTTTGATTGCTGTTAGATTTGAAACTTCCGTTATTACTTCAACGAGCAGCTATCTATTCTTGGGTGTGGGAACTGGGAACAAGTCATACGGTCATGCTTAAGGCTGTCTCTCATGCTCCTTGAAAAAAGAAAAGATCTTTTCTGAGTGATTCAAGAATGTCATATTTTGTAGATTGAAGCATGTGGTGGCGAAGCCTTGGCTTTTGGAGGCGACGTTTCAAAAGAAGAAGATGTAGAGTCCATGATGAAAACTGTAAGCTCTCTCTTTTGTTAGTAATATTAATTAATGGTGGATCTTATCACAGTTGTTGCCAGCTGAATTGCACCTCATAAGTATAACATCTGCAGGTGGTTGATCGATGGGGAACAGTTGATATCTTGATCAATAATGCAGGTTAGCTACCACCTTTATTTTGTTGCGACAAGTCAAAAAGATCATTTAATCAATTTTGCACCAAGATAATACCAACAAGTTAACACATTTGTGCTGTGACATTAAGCATCCAACAAAAATCTGTGCAACTTTCTAGTTAGAGAGGAACATGTTTTTACCCCATATATACAAGTGAAACAATATTTTTTTTATGCAGGCTAGCAAAAGTCATCCCGTTTTGCATCAAGTTTTATTAGAATTCCCTATCAGTAGTTCTCTTTTTCTTCTTTTCAGGTATCACGCGTGATACCTTGTTGATGAGAATGAAGAAGTCTCAGTGGCAGGAGGTTATTGATTTGAATCTTACAGGAGTTTTTCTCTCCACACAGGTCTATACGCTAGCTGTGTTTCAATTGGTAGTTTGGTTGTCTCCCCCAATCCCTCCTCCCAAAACCTGTATGTATTTTTCTTAAATAAGGTTCTTATAAGGGATCTTTCTTCTTGTTGCAGGCTGCAGCTAAAATCATGATGAAAAAGAAAAAGGTAAATTTGTCCATCTACCTCTTGATCTTCAGAAATAATATTATTTGTCTGGTAAGGTTCAAGTGTTCCGAAACTGTTGCATAGAGAGAAGTGCATTTGTCTCTATGGACTCTACAGCAGTTATAAACAATGACTACACCACATGGTGGGTCATTGAGGTCGTCCACACTAGCCCTTTCCAAAATTTTATGTATGGAAGAAATATCACTAGAACAACCATGTGGGGCAGGGGTCATCCCTAGCTTTGGGTAGAATAACCAAATTGTATTTTCCATTCCTGGTTTCTTGGACTCGCATGCTAGTCAAAGTAAAACAAAAAAGGAATTGAAAACACAATGACCGGTTGGCTATGTGTGACACTTGCACTACATTGATTAAACAGGGCATGGGCAAAATACTTCTCTTATCTGGATTGAAAGAAAATGGACAGAAATACATTAGTTGAAGGGAGATAGCTTATAACTTTATTCCCACCTAGTGTTAAAAGATAACATAATGCTACAATAAGATTGTCAGGTCAATTAGTTTTCTCTCTTGTTTGAAGCATCAAAAGTTGAGTTGATTTCAGCTTCAGAATTTGGATTTGTCGTGTTTGAAATCGGTTATGATGGAAGGGTTTTGATGTGACGCAGAAGCTGTTTCCAGCTATTCCGTTCCATGGATTTCAGTTGATGGTGTCATTTACTCAGATTCTGTCACCTGCTATATTGCTGACAGTTACCTTTTCAATGAATATGAACTAGTTATTCTTACAAAACAAGAAACAAATTTACTGATCCTTGAGTATGTTAAAATAGCCAGGTTGTGCCAGATGCCAACTAATAAGACTGTTCCCATCATGTTTATCTAGCGATATATTCTGATCCTTGAAAAAAAATTGATCACTAAGATGAAAGCAATGCAATGGAGTTTTATACTGTTCCTTATATACTTCAGAATTTTATTTAGGCATGGTCTACACTTTTCAGGGAAGAATCATCAACATATCTTCTGTTGTTGGTTTAGTTGGCAATGCCGGGCAAGCCAACTATAGTGCTGCTAAAGCAGGAGTCATTGGCTTAACCAAGAGTGTTGCAAAAGAATATGCCAGCAGGAATATTACTGTAAGTGCTCCTAGTCATTCCGTTGTATCACTTGGCTTGTTTACGTTAATGCTAGCTACGAAGGATTTGGTAAAGCATATTATCAAGGAACTTTTTCTGATGAGGACAAACTAATGAGTTGTCTCTCTTATTTTTCCCATTGGTGATATAATGACTTCTTATGGCTCATAATTAGGTTATTTATGCTGAATTTTACTTTTCTGCAGGTTAATGCTATTGCCCCTGGATTTATTGCATCAGATATGACTGCCCAGCTAAGTGAAGACATTGAAAAGAAACTTTTACAAAGTATTCCGTTAGGTAAGAGCAGATGTCTTTTAAAGTTTTTGTGGCGTTTATATCTCAACATAGTGACGAGTTCCCTGCACCTCTAAGACGAGGAAAAGGTACTCCAAGTAGCATAAGACAACATCAGATGCAATTGTCAAATTTCATTTGTATCAATAGAAAACTCTGACTCTATAAAACGAATAAAACTAAGTTGGAACTGAAAAACATCAACTGAGCTTGAAACTTGATAGTAGGTAGTTTCCCCTTCTTCAATGCATCCAACATTTCAAAGACTTTGTACTTGCTATGTATAAAAGATTTCATTTATTAAACTAGTAAAAGTAAGTACTATTCAATTTAATTTTTTAGGAAATATGGTTCATATCTATATTTTTCAGATTAAAGCACAAAAGAGTTCTGGTAAAGAATAACTATATTGACTCACTTTGGTTTCACATAACACAGGACGCTATGGTCAACCTGAAGATGTTGCTGGACTAGTGGAATTCCTAGCACTCAGTCCCGCAGCCAGCTATATTACTGGACAGGTAACTTCCATCTTATGCGGCCTCATCTGTCATTTATCCAAAGCTTCTCTCTTGCTACGTCATGTTAAAACATCTTTTATTAAGAATATCTATTTCCTTTACAGGTTTTGACTATCGATGGTGGGATGGTAATGTAGAAGTTTACCCCATAGTTTGCTCATGAAGAAAGATTGGAAGTGTGATCACTTATATTATACCTTGACTGTAGCCTTGCTTCGTCCAATATCTGCGTAAAAGGAACTTGATAATTTGGTGGTAGAAGATGACCTTACTCATCATTTTTCTGCATTTTCCCCTCTTCTTTTTCCGTTTTCTTAGAAGCATTTTTGAACCAGGGTTTGATCATTTTGTTGTGGTTTCTATGTTAAAGCTGAGTAAACACTATTTGACGCACTTCCTTTGGTCAAAGCATCCTCATGTACTGCCATGAAAGCTTGCTGCTCTTGGCTTAACCTCTGAGAACGGGAGATTGATTAATCAATGGCATAATTTAGCTCATGCTTATTTACAGTTGAAGTAATTTATTTTAGCTCTAGTTATGAATTGATCACCTTTTAATCCCCTTTTAGTTTTTTAAACAAGTCCAACAGTACCCTCACTAACAAAAGCCCTGGACTAGAGAAAAAAAAATAAATACAAAGATGGTCCCTTATGTTCGGGGTAGACTCAAATTACTTCCTGAAATTTGTCATAAGTGAACTTTTTTTCTTTAATCTCTATCAAATATTTTAAAGTTTTGCCGATTTATCTTTAAGATAACTATGGAAAATATATAAACACTAGAAAAATCTCCTCCGATCCTAAAAAATTGAACACAAAAAACAGTACTTAAATACTATAATGTACCAAACAAAATATATATTGTACATTAAAAAAAAGCAAATAGACTAGAAATAGCAAAAAAAAAGGAAGAACTCTCGGATGTGAGTTCTCAGCTAAAATTCTTTTTTTTTCCTCAGAATTTAAATTTTACTAGGGGTGGCAAAATTAAATCTAATTCTTCCCATTCTTTCAATCTGTTTAAGTTTAGGCAGGTGTTGATCCACCCATTATTAGTTCAATCTATCCTAACCCAATCTATTTCAACCCATCAAAAATTGAATTGATATGTAATCAGAATTGACTCATGAAAAATCTTATCAAAATATATTTTAATTTTTTTCTCAATCAATTTGATATGTTGTATATAGCAATAACAAAGAAAAAGATAATTTTATTAGAAACTAAAATAATTTACAAGAACAAACAGAACAATTAAGCTTAATAAAAAAATGAATTAAATTGGATCTTGACCCGTAATGTAACTCATTTTGACCCAAGCTGATTTGGATTAGTTTGAATCTTAACACAATTATTATCTTAACCCATTATGACCCAACCAACTTTGACCCAACCCGTTCAATTGTCACCCTTGAATTTATCAAACAGACAGTGACCAAAATGATATTAGAGTGTAGTTTAGGGGCTATTTTGAACCTAACCCAAACATATGGACCATTTTTGTCATTTTTCTCCCCTAAATTACCGTTCCTCTTTTTTCCTTCTTTCTCCCCTAAACATAGCCGAATCCTCCACTTCTGTAGACCTTCTCCATATCTTTCCTCTGTGATTTCAGCGGCCAACTGTAAGTTTTTCTTGTGATTTTAGTGGCATAACTTCTCAGCTGCTCTACGTTTCTAAATACTTTTTCAATTTTCTGTGCAATTTCATAAAAAAAGACGAGATTTTAGTTAGCTACTGGATTTATACTTCATTGGTGTTGTGAAAATTTCCTGTTGCTGCAACTTTTTTTTTTCTTTTTCAAATTTGAATTATGAGATTTTAAATGGTTCCTTTTTGTACTTTAATTCATGAGAAGAAGAAAAATGTGCAGTTGATTGTGTCAGTGATGTACATATTAGGATAAAATGATCCAATATGTGTTAGTATGCTATGTCACTTTGATGAGAAAGCATGAAGGAGAACTGAAATACAATTGAGAGTCAAAGTTTTTTTTGTGTTTTTTTAATACATAGACATAGCAGTAGTTAGAAAAGAACTTATATTAGGCAGAACGAATCCTGCAACTGGCTTTTAACTTTCATTAGCTCAGTAGAGTGTGTTTGTGTTTCTATCTCCTAGGAACTCCAAATCTTGATAGGTGAATGTGATCGATATTGATGAAGCTCAGTTCTTTGATAACCTTAATGTTTTTTTCTGCAATGCTGCTGATCTTGATGGAAAGAATGTAATTATTACAGGGTTAGATGGTGATTACTTGAGGTATTCCTCGAATAACTCATTTTCCTTTCAATGTTTCAGTTCCTGCTACGACCATCACTGTCAGCTATTGCCCCTGGGAACCATCAAGAAAGAAGCTATTTTTAGCAGGGGGTTCTCACTTTATGGTTAAAATCAAATGCCAATGTGATTGAAACGTAATGTTTGAAGTGGGATGGGATCTAGCAACTTCACCTCCTTGAAATTTAATAATCCTTTTTTTTGTTCGTTAATCAAGCTGTGGCAGGTTAACTCTTATGGTTTCCGTGGACTAGTGATGCTGAATATATAATTTCAGGGCAATTCTTTCCTTAAGCAGTCCTGATGAGTAAAGTTGGTTTTGTTTCTGATATCAACAATGAACTTCATATCCATTCTGTGGAAACAGAGGATCACTAGTGCAATTCATCAAACAATTGTTATATCTTTGTCCAAACAAACTATTCATTCATGTCAAGTTTATTGTTTGAAAACATCGGATGCAAATTTTACTTCAGAGAAGTCAGAATCAGAAAAGGAAGAAAGGTTGGTAGATCAGGGAATGGTGACAACAAGGAACAGCTTAAGTCAAAGAATTGAAAGTGTACCCATAGGAGAGTCCATTGGATCCACTTTCCAAAGCTGGATGGGTGATGGTTTACCTATTCATAGAGGTGACATTTTCCACACTATGAATCGTTTGCGCAAACTCAAATTGAACAAGCGTGCTCTTGAGGTTCTTTTACTCTGTCCTTTCTTGCCAAATTTGAAAATGGGCATTTACCTATTATGAAGTACATGAAGTATTCAACCTACTGTGAACACCACTAGGGTGCACTTTACATGTTTACATAAGATATCTAAGGGTAGTAGTAGTGAATGTAGTACTACTACTAGTGTTATGTTTCAGGTAAAGCTGGTACAGAGTGTTATGTTCCATATTAGTTATTCAGGCATTTTCAATATACGAATTTCCTCTATTCCTTCTCAAAAAATATATACTGAATTTGCTCTATTATGTTGTTGAGCTCATTTTCAAGTCTTACCTATAATAATGCCTAATCAAGCATAACTAGTTGATGTTGACAATCTTTAGGTTCTTAGTCTAGCTGTATTCACTAGTGTTTCAGTGTTAGATTTGGTTATCATTGAAATAGATAGAATTTAGTGCTCATTAGAACTTCACTTGTGATATTAAGCAATATCTATGCTTTTCACAGGTGATGGAATGGGTTATAAGGGAGAGACCATATAGACCAAAGGAACTAGATTACTCATATTTAGTAGAATTCACTTCTAAGCTTCATGGAATATCACAAGCTGAAAGTCTATTCTCCCGAATTCCGTCTGAGTTCCAAAATGAGTTGCTCTACAACAATCTTATACTTGGATGCTTGGACAGAGGACTGATCAGGCTTTCACTAGCATATATGAAGAAAATGAGAGAACTGGACCATCCCATATCTTATTTGGTGTTCAATCATCTCATCATTCTTCATTCCTCCCCAAGCCGCAAGAAGTTCATTCCTAAAATCTTGACGCAGATGAAAGCCGATAAGGTTACTCCACATGTTTCAACCTTCAATATTCTGCTCAAGATAGAAGCAAATCAACACAATATTGAAGGCCTGTTGAAAGTTTTTAGTGACATGAAGAGAGCAAAAGTTGAACCGAATGAGGTATCTTACTGTATATTGGCCAATGCACATGCTGTGGCTAGATTGTATACAGTTTGTGAGACCTATACTGAAGCTATTGAGAAATCTGCAACTGGACAAAACTGGTCTACATTGGACATTCTGGTCATACTCTATGGATATCTGGGAAAGCGGAATGATTTAGAGAGGACATGGGGTGTCATTCTGGAGCTTTCCCATGTTAGGTCTAAGAGTTATGTCCTGGCGATCGAAGCATTTGGTAGGATTGGAGATCTCTGTCGAGCTGAAGAGCTGTGGTCCGCAATGAAATCAAGGAATTCTTTGAAGTCAAATGAGCAGTTCAATTCGCTGATAGCTGTATATTGTAGACATGGACATATTACCAAAGCCACTGCATTGTATAAGGAGATGGAGAAAAGTGGGTGCAAGCCAAATGCCATTACTTATCGGCATCTTGCTCTTGGTTGCTTGAGAGCGGGATTAATTAAGGAGGCCATCAAAACTCTTCAATTGGGGATGGATATGAAAACAAGCATAAAGGTGAAAAGATCAACTCCATGGTTGGAAACTACTCTTTCAATAATTGAAATATTTGCAGATAATGGTGATGTAGAGAATGCTGAAAAGTTGTTTGAAGAACTGAAGAAAGCGAATTATACTAGGTATACCTTTGTGTACAATGCGTTAATCAAGGCGTATGTTAAGGGGAAGGTATATGATCCAAATCTTCTTAAAAGAATGATTCTTGGAGGGGCTAGGCCAGATTCTGAGTCCTATAGCCTTTTGAAAGTTATTGACCAACTTCGAACGTGAATATATTAGAATTATGTTGTGTGATTTTGCACCCTACTTCAAATTACTCGGCTAAGAGTAGTCCTATTCTGCGGCTCTGCGAATTGCTGAAGATAGCTATACTTCAGTGTGCCTGTTCTGTCCGAGTCTTGGAAAGATGATGGCAGGTTAGACAAGTTACGCTATATAATGTAGATGTCTTGATTTGCTAATTGGCATATACTTGTTCATTAAATCTGCTTGCCTTTATGGTCAACTTCAGCATTGTAATATTTGAATGGTTCTTAGCAATTTGACATTGCTTTAGGGTTTCTTTTGAGAATATTATTATAAAGATGTATGTTTGAGATACACATCGAACTCTTGTTGCTTCAAAACTAGATTTGCTTTTTTTTATTAGTTTATAATTTATAATATGCTTATCTGGTCTGGATGCAGTTTGTGCTTTGTTGTTTTCATCTTTGCAAGAAATTCTAGGTTGAGATGATGCCTTTGTTTCTGGACTCTATACTTAGTGTTGCATTATTTACATGTGCCGATCCCACTTCTGTCTTAAACTTCAATGTACTCTACATGTATGGAACTCAAAAAGGAAAAAATTCCTAGATCAGAAAAACAGTTTATCTATATGTATGTGGACAAATGCACCTCTGCATATTTCATCTTATTTCATCACAATGCACATTGTATGGTTTCTCTTTCAATTTTGGAAATGTTTCTGGGAGCTCTTACCCTGATGGCATTACCATTGCGTATGAAATGTAATTGAAATAGAACGTGATTTGAACTTGTATCAGCTATGTTGCACTTACGGTACTTGCTCATTGAGTTGCTGCGTAGATTTAAGGCATGCGATGATAACCAAAAAACATGTTTCATATTGCTGAAGAAGGTAATGCAGCACATAGCAGAATCAGATAAAAGTTTTTAACTTTACATAATGTTGTTTGTAGTTTGGCCAATGTATGGGGAAACGAAGAGAGCAGAATCAGGAATTGATGATCAAAGATTAGAAATATCTGCAACAGAGTATCAGCAGGAACAAAGAGGAGTTTTGTGAAGATTGCAGCTGATTGGGCCGAGGCCAAGGCCGAGGATGGATAGTTGTAAGCAGATGCTAAGCACCAAAGACACAAATGCTTGACCAAAGACCAGTTATTTTGTATCAACTACTGTCCGAGCTTTCCTAGATTCACTTGTGGAATTACACTAAGTATATCGTTGTTATACTATCCAAACTTCCTCATTTTCTTGGAATAAATTTCACTTTTCTGTTGGACTATTTTGTCACATATACTTTATAAGGTTAATTATGACAGCATGTCCTTTTTCATCTTGATGATGAATATTTCTCACCTTTCAACAACTATTCAAGAGATGGTCCGTGACTACTTTTATGTCCCCATGCACCGCACATTGTTCATATTTTCGGGTAGATAATGCAACGTAGATTTGAATTTTTCAATCCTCACACAATGCCTAAATTCAACAACTTTCACCTAACCATGTGGTCAGTGGCGGAGCCACGTGAGGGGTGTTCTGGTGCGGTTCAAGCACATTGGTGATCTAAAGCAAAAATCAAATGGGTTTTAGTTTTCAATTAATAATATAATCATTTTTATTTTAAATTATTTTTCATAAAATACAATACTTCAAATATGTCAAATTTCTTCTAATATTTCCTCCATTTTTCATGAAAAGTTAACTTTTTCTACAAATACAATTCAATATTTGTTAAAAATAACAACTTATAACCTCTTATTATTAAAAATAAGGCCCCTTAAATTTGGGCGTAAGGCGCATGTCTTTATTTTAACAATGTCGAGCCACCAGGGGATGTCGACCGACACCCCTTTGTCGAAAAATTACATTGTGTAGCTAGAATTAAAATATTTTTTCATATATATTTATATTATGTATTGACACTCCTTGGCTTCTACACGATTTTATTTCTTTATATTTTGACACCCCTTAAATCAAATTTTAACTCCGAAACTGCATGTAATTTATATCTACACAAAAATCTATATCTGACGGTAAAATTTCAAAACTCTCTTTCTTTTTTCATAGTTCATGTCACATCAAAATAAATCAACACAAATTGAGACGTCTTCCCAAAAACTATTTCGAAAAGTGATAGGATCATTCAAAGCAGATTAAAGTAGTCAGTCAAATGAGGAGTCGGGGGAAATCCACTCTCACCTTACTAGTAATAATTCAATTTAGAGTAATAAGAAATTATACTTCCCTTTCCAACAATATATTAACTTGACACATCTCTTATAAATTTATAAATAGAAGGTAATTTTATTATATCACCATTTGAATATAATATAAAAATGACTATAATGTAAATTACGAATTAAATATAAAATTATTTATGAATTTCATAAAATTAACAAGTATTGTTAGACATCTATTTTAGTATAGTGAATAAGTATTATTAGACGAAAAGAGTATAATTTAATATTGTAAATATACATGTAATCCTATAAATTTAATTTTTATCAAAAAAAAAAAATGACTTGTGCATAGGTGGCATTGCATAGGATGGGGTCTCAAGTATATCTACACGAGATTATTGAAGTGTGAAATTTCTAAGTGATGAAACAACTCAAAATCACAATAAATTTTCCATTCGTTCACGTAACTAAACCACTTTCATAATGAGCCCTAGCTGCTGCTACTATTAATGGCACAATTCCTTTTCTGGAAAAACAACAAAGTATCCACATTTATTTCAACACTTCTCATAAAAGAGAAATTGAAATTTTAATTTTGCATTTCCCCAATTTCATCAACAATCGCAGAAGCTTTTTTCTGCGCAGTATTCGAGGTAAGGTCCTGTTGTAACATTAGTAGCTATAGACTGGTTTTTGTTCCTTTCTGATGATATCATTGATGTTCGGGTATCCATTAATTTCTCGAGATACTTATCGGTTGCTAAACATCAGATAGCTTTGTTAATCAAAACTAGAATAGATGTATTGTTTTTACCAGAATTTGAACTTGAAATATTAAAACATCAGGTAGGTAGCTTTGTTAATCAAAACTAGAACAGATGTATTGTTATGACAGATGAAAAGATTTTTTTTTCCGCTAGAATTTGAACCTGAAACGTTAGGACAGATGAAAAGAAATCACCTATTACTTTTGTTTATATGGGAATTTGAACTGTGAAAAGTTAGGATAGATGATAAGAAATCACCTATTATTTTTGTTTATGCAGGAATTTGAACCTGAAACGTTAGGGTTCTCAACCCACTTTACTAACCACTAGGTCACGTCCTTTGATTGGGGTGTGAGCATTGGAGTTGATAGAGGAAGATGTAGGTAAAAAGGAATAAAGATCGTGATAATTTGATTCTTTATTGTTGTAATGAATGGAAGAGAAAATGGAAATTTGATTTGTTGTTTTTACTTTGAGGTATCTCAAGAGAACTATAGGAAAAAGGTTTGTTTATTAAGTGAAAAGATTCAATTTTTTCACATGGAAGGAAATAAATCTTATTTTATTGGAAATGAGCAAGTTCCCTGTTTGTTTATCAGTAAATTGGAAAATGATTAGGAATTTAGGATTGATTTTAAATGTGATTTATAAATTAATATAGTTTGTGTTAGTGTTTGAAGTTTGCTTCAATTTATGCAGAGGCAATTGAATTACAAAATCATGAGTTACTTCCGGGCATTCTTGAACAGTCCTGTTGGCCCTAAAACAACTCACTTTTGGGGTCCTATGGCCAACTGGGGCTTTGTCATTTCTGTATGTTCCTAACCTTTGATGTTCGTTTTCGGTAAATTATTTCTGTTTTTTTATCTAATACTGAAGTCTCTGAAATTTACTTGAATTGATTAATTTGCAAGGGAGTGATGGATTCACAGAAGCCCCCTGATGCAATATCTGGCAATATGACTTCAGGTGAAATAGTAGTAGTCTTTACATTTTTAGTCCAAGCTACTCGAACAATAGTCAATGTATCCTTCTTTTGAATGCAAAAGAATCTCGCAGAAACAATGGTGGATCCAGTATAAGCTGTTAGTCTGGCCAAAAACTCTGCTTTGGACTCGAACCTCATGTATATACGTGGAAAAAAAGAAGGAAGAATGTCTCTTGTACAAACAATGGTGGATCCAATATAAGCTATGGTTTGGCCAAACCTATGGCTTTAGACTAGAGCCTTATGTAAATATGTGGAAAAAAAGTATACATAGGATTGAATTTATATTTCAGAACCTGCATTTTTAACTTCGCTAGAACTTTCAGAGTTTAAATTTTGGATCTGTCACTGCTCAAAACATAAGTTTTTGGTACATCAACGCGTTCTGGTGTGCTTTACTTTTGATCCTGCATAAAATGATTGTCTCAGTTTTAGACCATTTATTGAATTTTCTTGCTTTTGTTTCTTTGGCTGCAGTGCTATGTGTATATTCACTATTATGTATGAGATTTGCATGGATGGTACGTCCTCGCAATTATCTTCTTCTGGCTTGCCATGCTTCAAATGAGTCAGTGCAGCTCTATCAACTCTCACGTTGGCTAAAGCATCAGCGGTATGTGTCTTAGTTCACGAGTGCATAATTATCCATAGTAACATTAAATAGAAACAACAATGTTTGAACAACTCAGCTGTAGTTACTAGCAAGTTCCGCTCACAGATTAAGCATTTAACCAAAGTTTTGAGTGCCTTTTATGTAGATCAGTCTGAATCAACTTTCCTTTCCCTTTCATCAATCACCTTGTTTTAGCGAAAAACAAAATCTGATCTTCGTGCTGCGTTTTCCTTTAGGTACTTGTCTCAGAAGGAAGAGAGCGTTTCTTCATGACTTTAAGCTCTGTTCTTCTCATCATCCATCATTTCGACAACCAAAAAAGAAAAAAGAACAAAAAGATAGTTGTATCATACTGCAAAAGAGTTGGTTATCTGTGTTACATCGGTTGTACAAGAGTCTCAAATGAATGGAATGATGCAAAGTGGCTGACTGATGATAGCTCCAATGTCTCCTATCTGATAATGGAGCACCAGGATAAAAAGAGGTGAAGGAAAATCACATTATTCTTGAAATTTAACAATTCAACTATGATTAGCTTGAGTTAAACATTAATGTTACAGTTTGCTCCTATCATTGTTCAATGGCACATATTCGTTATCGTCTTGCTTTCTGGATGTTGTATGCTTCTGTTTAGTTTTGCAGTTAAAATTGATTGTTAACATTGTAACACCTTGATGGAGCCTTTTTTTTTCTTGTATTCATCAAAAGCAACACAAAAGTTCATCAAGTGATGTTTAAGTGGTGAAAATTTACTTGAAAAATTGATTATTCACGAGTAGGAAGTCTTTTCCTGACCAATTTTACAAAGAGAGAATAAATATTCAGAGGCGTAACAACGATTACAAGAACCTATATCCTGCTCTTTATATTACTCCCTCCGTTCGGAATTGTTTGTCATGTTGCGCTTATCGAAAGTTAATTTGACTAATTTTCAAAGGTAAATTAGATTATATTAATTCGATGTTTTAAACAAAAAAAAATTAGATATTCTAAAACTATATAAAAAGTACTATAAATTACAATTTTTTGCATATTAATATGATAAAAAAGTACATCTTAAATTGTTAAATCAAAGTTTTTATAATTTGACTTTAAAAAATAAAACCATGACAAATAACACCGGACAGAGAGAGTAATTGATAAAGGGGTAAATTTGCAAAGTAAAAAGTAGAAATTGAATTATTAGGCAAGACTGATACAATAGATTTTTATGGTCTAGCCTTTTTCTATACCCTGCGCATAATAAAAGCTTAGAATATCGAGTTTTTTTTTTAAAAAAAAAAAAAAACATTCATAAAGTACCAAAAGCACTAGCAAGTAGCAAATGGCCAATGCGCATTCATCCCAGAGAAGGAGGCTGAGTCCGGAGTATATGGAATTTGTTAATGTTGAAACTTACCGCTTGTTTGGATGGTATTGTTATTTAATAATCCTATTTTATCTTTTTTCTCTATTTTTTATAATACTAATTTTTATCTCATATCCTATTTCTTTTTAGGAAAAATCACTTGAAATAATACATTTAATAAATAATCATTGATCTTAGCGATATTTTCTACTTGTTACTATCATTTATAATAATATTATGATAAATCTGCAAGATGTATTAAAAGTAAATTATGTATGCAATAAATATATATTATAATTGTTTTAACAAATATATTATGTTTGTTTTGTAAGAAATTGATCCATTGTATTATAAGTGTATTTTTATGTGTGATAAATGTATTATTCATCAATAAAACTTATATTATATGTGAATAATAAATTGTTCTATGTAAT